GACACGCAAGTGGGGTTGTGTGTTCTATCCCATTAGGGTGCATATGGAAGGCAACTAATCAATGTGTCTCATCTCTGTCTTCCCTCCTTCTAAGCATATCCTCAGCTGAGTATAAAAAAAAGTATACCAATCATCCATATAGGAAAACTAGATCAATAGTTATAATTCAGTTCTTTGCAATGACTAATCCCAGGTTTTACCAACCAAGTGATATCATGCACATATGTAGTCCTTAGTCTTGCTGAGTTCCACTGCAATTTCCAATAATGAAGCAGCCACTCAAAGCATTTTGGAGGTCAAAAAGTTTGCTTTGTTTTTTTAGCTGCTGGGGTCTCTTCAGAGACTAACTCCATCCCACCTTGGGTGTAAGAATTTGCAAAGCTCTTTGATTACCCCTGGGGTTGGGTGTGTATGGTATTAAAGGGGATGAATCCAGCCTCTGGTCACTCGCCGACTGTTAATCCATTATAAATGTGCTGTTGTTTAAATTGCTTGAAATTTGGCTATTAAAGCAATGCTGTTCTCTAGAAAGATACTGGAGTCTGAAAACCTGTTTTATAAGATCTATGTAGAGTTAATGGTGTGGTCTGTTGCATCAGTTTATTTCTCAGTAGAATGTTAGTATATGCCTTCTTAGAAGCTTGTCGTAAATAACTAATTATGTTTGTTTAAATTGACAGTTTGATTTCTGCATGCAATTTGGATATATTACACAGTGCAATATGCACAGCACCTAAGAAAGATTTTATTTGCGGTATTTCCTGCAAACATTATTTAAGACCAAATTAGGTTCCTTTCTAGGAGATAACTTATATCACATACACCCAGTCAACTAGAAATATTAAGAGTTGTTATTTCTTACTTTTTTTGGTGTTGATATTCCCAAAGGGGAAAAAAGGCATATAAAAAAAAGAATTTTACATAAAAGAGAAATTTGAGATATATGACTTTTTTGCGGATGAAAGCAAAATTTGAATTTTCCTTGAACTTAACATTGAAGACTGAGTGGTTCAATAAAATCAGATTTATTGGGGCTAATGTCTGTGTTACCAGAGCAAAGCAAAGTGAAGGCTCCACTACCCTTTGGAGGGAAGTCATTGGTTAATTCTTGGGTAATTTGGTCAAAATAACAGTGACAAAAACAATGGCAGGAGCAGTTTCTGCTTCAATTCTTATTACTCAGTAAAACCAGAGCCCTTTTTCCAGACTGGAGGAAAAAAACTGACCTAGAAATGAAGGAACTTGCCTTAAATCTCATGATTGAGTCAAAATATGAAACAAATTCCACTTGGCTCCAAACTGTCTTCTTTCCATGGCACCACCCGACCACGCCAGGTGTGAGAATGTGACTTTCATCAAGTAGAAGGTTCACTAAAATATGCAGCACTTTAAGACATTTTTGATCATTGCATGAAATGCACAATGATCTTAAGTATGTGTTGTAATAATTCACTCACCGCCAAGGTTTGAAGTGAAAGCACAGTGCCCAACCTCAGAAGGGACAGCCAAAGTTTGCAAAGGGAGCCCAGTGAGTATTTTCCAAAATTGCATTATGATTTAACAGTGAAATATATTGAAAGGTGTTGAAAAGATGACTTTTAATTGTAACGGAGTGTTTCAAGGACATAAAAGGCTCTGATGTTTTTAGGTCTCCCTCTCACCCTAATGGAAACAGGTTTTGTGATTATAATTATTGCTATCTAGGCTTTTTATAGTCAGGTGTTGGCTAGTGCCTTAAAAGGGGCCATTGCTCTCAGCTTAGAAAGCATGCTGCATGTGGCTTTAAACTGATGTTACATGTTACCCTGAGGAAAGAGACTCAAGAGTTTATCATATTGAACTGGAAAAGCTTTCTGAAGTCTCCCACACTTGAGCAGCTGCTTCCCAAGTATGTAAAATGTACTTAGACTGCCCTCTCCTGGTTGAATGGAAGAATAGCTAAAAGTAATGAACATGGTGTTTTTTGTTTTTTGTGTTTTTTTTTTTTACATTTCATGCTCTTGGCCATTCTGAATTTAATAAAAATGGAAATTATCAAGTGACCAAAACAGAAAAACAGCTGAATTCATGTTACATCTGATAAAAAAAATGATTATATACCAAAGAAGCTGCAAAATGTAACTAGAACTTATTTTTGGCAGGAACCAGAGGAGTACCAATGGGATTGGATTTTAAGAACACCTGATCAAGCAAAGGACATAAGACTGGATGAAGAATTGCTTACCCCCAGCCAGATGGTGCATACTCCTAGTTGAACTACGAAGGAACACAGTGGAAGAAGGTGAGTTCTTGGTTATGATTTTTTTTTTTAAAGGCCTAAAAGATGACATCTACCATACATGATTGTTACAAAACATTCCTTGAGGAAAGGGTGGGACAGGAAGGGGGGAAGGGTCATATGTGAAATCTGGGAAAACTGAGGACTATACAGTCATTAAGCCTGGACTTTGGAGCCAAGATGCTGGGGTTTAAAATCCAGCTTTCCCACTTGCTAGGTACATGACCCTGGATGTTGGTTAAGATCTATGTTTTACTTCTAGCCATCTTTAAAATGAGATAGATGACAGTACAGACCCCATAGAGTAGCCATGATGGGGATTAAATGAGCTAATATTAGAAAAAGATTGCTTAGAACACTGCCAGGCATTATATTAAGCATTATATAAGTGCTTTTAAAATAGAGTACAGATAGAAACTTCCTTTATAATATTACTTCCAAAGACATACCTTTTTTACCTTTATTAAAGCAAAAAAGATTAACTGAATTTCAAAGTGAATTGAATAAAAAAATAGAAGACCAAGAGAGATTATCAAATGAATACTTTATTAGCATCATAACACTTATAAAATAAATTTCTTTTCATCATGGAGTTACCAGATTTTAAGACCAACCAGCACTTTCTCATTTTTAGAGCTAAGCTCTAGAAAGAAATTCTCAAATGCCATAATTTTTGTTCAAGTGCTTTGCTACACAAGTCAAGAACACAATCTGCAAATCTAAGTTTTCACAGTTAGATGAGTTTTAGGCATGGTTCTTCATGATTGAGAAGCAATCCATTTACAAAGTGCCATCAAGCAGTTGTGTGAAATCATTTAAGTTAATGCCACCAAGCACGAACCTGTTATACTCTGGAAGGTAAAAATTTCACAACTAAACCTAGTAGACTACTATTAAACAATTCAGACCAGGATGGATTATATATCTTTATGGCACATTTATGACTTAGTAATATACAATTCATAATACGGGTGTAGGTGTATGGTATGGCGCTAGAAAAACCAAGGAAGTCAGATATTATAGAATAGAACAGATACAGCATGAGTATAAAGTCCTATGACTGATACCCTTTTGCCACCTATTGAAACATGTCTTCTGCCACCTATTGAAACATGTCTTCTATCATTAGAAAAACATCACAAAAGGATTCTAATAAGATTCCTCCTCCTAGGGGATTAGGACACAGACAGTGTTTGATCATTGATCACGCTACTCCATGAAAACTAATAGCTCAATTTATCCATGACACTCGTACGGGGTGATTCAGCCACAAAAAGCAAAGGGTTGAAAGTGCAGAACAATCCCAAAGTCCTCTTTTCCCAGAGACAGCCCTCTCTGGGCAAGAGAGGAGGACCTTGTTTGAAGAGAGTGGAGGGTAGAGGAGGACGGCGGGGGCAAGCGGGGCCTGACTTCACCCACTCAAGCCATTGGCACCTTTCCACAAGCAGGGGCTCTGCAGGTGGGCTACACCACTTTCCTGTGCATTTCCACCAGACACAGGTTTTGTGACCACTGTTATTTTAAAATGGATTCTATGTATCTGTCACCAAGGCAGAAACAACACAGATCTCAGGGCTATTTTCCAAATATGTCAGAATCTACCACTTTAAGTTACAGTTAATCTACTTCAGATTTAACTCAGAAAGCAATGTAAAACATATAAAAAAAAAAAAGTTACCTCTTTGGAGAGCTCTATTTGGTAAAGCCTCACATGCCCACACACAAATATTCGTATATTCATGCACAGGGAAAACGGCTGTACTTTAAAGCATAAATAAGTCCAAAGTAAGACACAGGTAGCTGGAAACCAATCCCAGTAGTTGGTTAATGGTCTTGTCTGGAAGAGTTTTGCTCAGGTGTTAGGAGACTCTAAGTTTGATTAAGCAACTATTGTTCACTTCATAAATTACTTACTCCTATACTCAGGAAGCTACTGGAATTAGCTGGAGAAACCATTCGCCCCTTCAACGGTAAGTATTTGACCATTAACACTAAGGCAGTGTGATTACTGCATAAGGAGACTAAATAGTATAGTGGTTTCTCTAATTAGCTTTATACCTTTTGGGATCAGTTCAATAACATACAGGACACGTAACCAAGGTTTTACACCAGAGGTCAGAGAACTATAGCTGGCAGTCCACAGACCTGCTACCTGCTTTTGTAAATAATCTATGGCTGCTTTCATGTAGCAACAACAAAGGAGAGTAGTTGTGACAGAGAATTTATGGGACACAAAGCCTAAAATATTTACCATTTGGGCTAAGATCTAAAAAGAAATTTTCAAAATGCCATAATTTTTGTTCAAATACTTTGGGCCATGATAGAAAAAGGATGCCAATCTGTTTTACACTGAAAGAGGTCAGTGGGAAGCCTATTTGAAATGTAGGGTTTTTTTTTAGGGAGTTCTAGTTACCTATTGAAATTAAGGTTCACATGACTTAGCAACTAAACAAAAGAGATACCCTTTTTTCATATCTTTAAAAACAATTTTTATATCCATAAAATATATAGGAATAGACTTATGTAAAATTAAAGGCCATTTCTCTGTTTATATCATATTCTATCTTTGAAATAAACCAAAACTGTACTTAGAATCTCTCTCCATTTACTAAACACACAGCTTTCGGACTATTATTATATCCAAAAAAAATGGCATCCAAACTGATCAGATGAATGAAGTAACAAATGATACTAACACACAGACAGTGTGCTTCTTGGAGTGTCACGGTCGCCATCTTCGTAAGGCCAGACCCAGACTGCAACCATAACAAACTGTCGTCACAAAGGCAAAAATCTAAGAAAAAGAGAAAAAAATTCTCATCAGAGTTAGAACACTGACTTGAAGAAAACATTTGTTCTTACAACACTGACTTGAAGAAAACATTTGTTCTTACAATCATCTGAAGACTGACCAAACTAAAATACTTCCACACTTATAAAAGCCATTCCTATTCATCTCTTATTTTAATCCTCACCTGAGGATATTTTTTCCATTGATCTTTCTGAGAGAGTAGAAGGGTTAAGGAGAAGGGAAAGAGAGAAACATCGATTGGTTGCCTCTGCATGCACCCCAACCAGGGCTGGGGATTGAGCCTGCAACCCAGATATGTTCCCTTGACTAGGAATTGAACCCCTGACCCTTCAGTCCATTGGTCAATGCGCTAACCACTGAGAAATACCAACTAGGGCCATATTGATCTTTTTTTGTTGATTTGTACAGCTGTTTTATCTCTTTATATCATTAACCCTTCTTTTAAAGATTCTAGCCTCTTAATAATTTTCTCATTTGTAGACAGCCTTAGGTTGAGCATTTTTGCTCACATACTAGAATCAAGTATTTGTGATACCCCCAATATGGTATTCAAAAATTCATTATGAGGTGTCTATTCTATTCCTCACAGCCAAGGAAAGTACAACTGTCAGGACATGGGGATGGAGCCAGTTATATTTTTCTGATATATCTCTAATCCAGGCATTGCTGAATGAGAATGACCACTTTTGATATCTATTTTAGAGATCTGGAATTTTCCTCTCTTTAAGGTAAGTGAGGCTTTAAAATATAATGTCTCAAAGGAATAGATCATACATTTAAATATTAAAATTCAGAATTCAGAGTACACTGGGACTTAATGTGACACTTAAGAGGTTTGCTAAGGCAGCTTCATGTAGGGAGACAGAGAAAGGGAAGGATGACGGACAGAGTCACAGAATAGATTCACACAATGAAGAATTGGACAGCACAGGTTTAGAGTCAGAATCATAAATTCAGACTCTAGACCTGTGCTGTCCAATAACTCCTAGCTGCACGTGGCTAGTTAAATGTAAATTGTGTATCTGTCACCAAGTACAACCTCTTTGTGCTTTATATTATTTTTAATTAATAGAATTATGAATAAGTAGCAACCATATTTATAGTACACATATAGAACATTTTTATTATCATTTTAGAAAGTTTTATTGGACAGCAAAGCTCCAGACATACCAATGTTCTTCATTGTGTGAATCTATTCTGTATGATCTATTCCTTTGAGACATTATATTTAAACCCTCACTTTTCTTATTTCAATATACCTTAAAGAGAGTTGTACAAATGGGGAATTTGAACTGTTTGTAATCAACCACTTGCTATATAGTTATATTACTTATCAAGAGATTTCAGGAAATAATTTAGATGCCTGTCACCTTAAATAACCAATGTCAATACAAAATGATAAACTCATTAAAAAAGTATATGCATTTAGAAGGATAAAACAATTAAAAAAATGTCCCCATGGATGGTATTTCACCTCTATAGCATCTACGTGATGGCTAACATATTTACCTCCCCACTCACCTGGACTTTCCTCACTGGCAGGAACTATGCCTGATGCATCCCTGTCCTGTCACCTGCCTCGTGGTAGGCTCTCAGTGAATTCGAATGAATTACAAATATCCCTTACCAGGTCTGAAGTTACAAGAAGTAAAAGACACAATTCTTTCTACAAAGTAGACTTTGTTGTGTAAAGCCAACCACTGACTGCTCTAATCTTACATGAATGTCAACCTCTTTGTACTTCAGTTTCATCACCCACAACACTGAGGTAGTAACAGTACTTTGCTCATAGTATTGTACAAATAAATGGCTATTATATGTTTAATGCTAACAGGTATTTTTTTTTTTTTTTAAACTGTGCCTGAGGAGTTACTTGGAGACCTTGACAGTGGAAGGGAAGTGTGGGTAAGGTGTAGTCATCAAACACTTACTGTAGCTGCTACGTTTATGTTATACTGGTTATTACTCAGGAGCGGCTGCACGACCATGGTTGTATTGCAATGCAGATTGTGCAGGGAGGTGGCTGCTGCTTCTAGTAAAAAGGCTCCAAAGTAGAAGACGAACACTGTAAAATGGTAAGCAAAATCCTGAAAGAGGAGGGAAAGGAAAGATGTCTACAATTAAAAAGAATCTATTTTTTTTTCTTTTCTGTTCCTTATTTCAATGATAAAGTTTAGGTTCAGGAAGATTAAAACATTGATTCAATCTTGAACTACATTAGCCATTTCTTTTGGCTGCTTTAGCAATGTGAAGTTATTAGAATCCAAATGAAAATCAACTGCCCCAATGTAACTGGTGCAGTGGCAAACCTTCTGGTCTATGGAGTTTTATAATAAAGTATATAATTTTTGTTTATACTAAGGTGCCATTGAGATTATAATTAACATAAAAAGGAATAACAGATGCTGTCCTTAAAATGTAAGTAAAATGGCATTTAAGTTATAGTTGTCATATAATAAGATCTATTGCTACAATATATTAGTTATATATGTATTTTATAATTAAGCATTTTATATTTTTAGCAATTTTATCAGATTGTAACACTATACATTAAAAGAACAGACCTGTGAAATCACAGAATTCAATAACATATCTCCCAACATTCTAAAAAAATCAAAGTCATATACTTTCATATGAAAATTTCTTGTACTTTTTGTAAAACTCAACTGTTATTAAGCTATTATGTAAAGTACAACTGTGCTAAAATTCACATTATCTTACCTGAATAGATCAACACATTTCTTTGAATTCCCAACACCAGATATTTTACATTCATTATAATTCATCCTTACAACCTCTATTATCTTCAGTTTATGCATTAAAGAAATTTCTTAATTTTTTTTTTAATTGACAGTCTCAAAGCCACACAGAGATGAACCTTGGGAAGGAGAACTCAAGCCCACTAGGTCTGTTTCCAGAGTCCACTTTTTATTTCACCATTTCTACCAATACTAGAAATCTTGGGGGGAAATTCTACAGATATCTACCAAGCATACAAATTTAATCTCAAGATCAATAAAAGCTAGAGGCTATAAGTATTTTAGTTAATATGCTAAACAAATACTTCTAGAAAATTATCAAAATGCACTCTTGTGGGGGTGGGGGCGCAATGGTAAGGTATGTATACATATAATACCTTAATAAAAAAATGGGGGAAAATGCACTCTTGCTTCTTTCATGACTGGTATATAGGCAACATTATCACAGGTGGAAACAATTATTTTTTTCAGCAATTAATGTCTAACAATTCTAGAATGTAGCAATTTAAAATTGTTACCGTCTGGTGAACACTATGATATGCATGGCTCAAAAACTTTCCTGGCTGAGAGAGTACAAAAACCTATCAAAAGCGACAAGGTAGTCAAAAAGGCAGAGTATGTTGAATATCTCAAAAGAGGAGGAAAAAAAAAACCAAAACCATTTCTAAACATGGCAAGCATTTAAGTATGGACTAAGCAGCTAAAAACAGACTAGACAAATCACAGGATAACCTTTGTAGGTGACTTACAGACTGGTAGGTCATTATAATTTCTTATGGAAACCTAATAAATTAAAAAGGGTATGAATGGTTGTATTCAATACCAATGATAAAGCAATATGAACAAAAAGGAAAGGGATGGTATGAACATATGTCTAATAAAATCAGGAATGTTACTGAAAAAATATTTAAACATTGATGAGGTATGTGCTTTCACCAATTAGAAAGAATGCTGGGCCCTGCAGATCCTAGAGAGTCAGTACTTACCCAATAATTAACACATTAGTTGCTGGGCTGGTAGCAGGTCCAGGACGGTCCCAGAGGATGAGCTTGGGTGATGAAGGTCACAACCATTGGAAATAGGCAGTAGGTTGTGGCAATGACTGTATTAACTATTATAGTACCAGAGCAACAGTAGGGCTATCCTGGTACACACCGGTCGAATACCATCCTTGAGCCTGACACTACAATAGCGTGGTGATGCTTACCAATATTGGGGACTACAGGTTTATTCGTACATATCATGGGAAAGCCAGGCATTTAGAAAGAGGAGATTAAGCATCTACCTGTAACTTAAATAGGGTCCTTTGATCTGCATCACTTAACCAATTACTAGAAATATTTTCTCATTAATGAGAAATTAAAGCAAACAGGTCAGAACACATGGCACCAGCAACCCAAGGACTCGCAGATTTCTAGTGCAAGCCTCAGCATGTCTGAGGAATGACGATTACTGATCTCTTCCTAGGAACCAGACACAAAGCGGACCTCTTTGTAATATAGTACATTAATTCCGTGGTTCCTTCATAGCATCTGGTGAGGTAGGAATGATTATTACCATTTTATAGAGGAAGAAAATGAAATTTATAGAGGTTCACTATTTTGCCTGAGGGTACACACTTATCAAGCACCAGATCTAACCTCAAACGAAACCAGTGTGTGGCGATCCCTGCTGCCACCTCCCCCCAGCTTTGCACTAACCCCCACCCTTTGATTGAAGGTAGGCAGCCTCATTCACTAGACTTTACTGTTGATAACACTTGGGATGACAGCCCTCCTCATACTCTACAGATAAGAACAAATAATTTCCCTCTAACTGCTGTCCTAAAGCTGCTGAGTAAAAAATGCTGCTATCCTTGAAAGGAACACATACAATACCAGACTACAGTCCTGACTTATATGTCTAAACACCCTTGTGGGATGGAAACCAAAGGGGAGGAGGGGATTCATCATGAACTTTCTGAGAGCATGTCCACCATAGATTGAAATTCATGCTACACTGGGCCATTCTGAGAGAATGAATAACCACAAGCAGGAAAGAGAACCCCGTGTTACAAAAAAAAAAAAAAAAAAAGGGAAATATGTTGATCCAATTTAATGGTGTCATAATGTTAAGAATTGTGCTGGTTGCAAATTCATTTCTTAACAATTCTTGATCTTTTAGCACAGGAATAAAAAATGCAGGCAATATTTCATTTTGTTGTACTTTTGTCTTATGCTTCTCAGCTGCCATGCTTTTTACAAATTGAAGATTGTGGCAACCCTGAGTTGAGTATTTTTGCACTATTTGGCACTGCATTTGTTCACTTCATGTCTCTCTGTCACAGTGTGGTAATTCTCACAATATTTCAAACACTCTCATTATTATATTCATTATGCAGAGAGAGAAACACTGATTGGCTGCCTCGTGCATGCCCCTTACCAGCAATCTAGCCTGCAACAGAGATATGTGTCCTGACTGAGAACTGAACCAGCAACCTTTCTGTGCACTGGATGATGCCCAACCAGCTAAGCCATGTCCACCAGGGCAAAATCAGTAATTTTGGATATTACTAGTACTATTGTCTTAGTTTTGGGGTGCCATAAACTGCATCCATATAAGATGGCAGACTTAATAAATGGTTGTATGCTCTGCTCTGGCTGTACCTCGCTCTCTCCCTATCCTCTGGCCTCCCTTTTCTATGAGACACAAGAATATTAAAATTAGGCCAGTTAAAAACCCTCACATTTTTAATCAATGAAGTATTTTTTCAATTAAGGGCACATACATTCTTTTGTTAGCCATAATACTACTGCACACTAAGTAGTGCGAATATAACTTTTGTATGCACTGGGGAAACCCAACATTTGTGTGACTGGCTTTGTTGCGATACTCATTTTATGGCAATGGTCTGGACCCGAACCTGCAACATCTCCCAGCTATGCCTATAAATGCAAAATATCACCCTTCTTTTCCCCCCTAAATATTCAGAGAGTAGAATATATAGCTGCTTGTTTTCTGAAAAGAATGTATGTCTTTAATATCGGAAACAGAAATCAGTGGAAAACTTAGATATTTGTCACAGGACCTGTCAAAGGCATCTGTTCAATAACTACAATCCATTTATTTGTTGTGTGAACTGTGAGCAAAGGTCATCTAACTCATAAAGGAGCAACAGAAAGATCGCTCGGCTCTATCAGCAAAGGGATCTCTCAAGCTGGGCAATGTAGACGGTGCTGCCTGACCTTTTCTCTCCCACCAGCGGCAGCAGACAGAACAGAGATCAGGCATTTGGGGACAGAACGAGAGAGTTATGCTTCCCACATTCCCCTGAAAAAGACTTAAAAATCCCTTACCAGGAAATTCCAGTTGGCATCGATCTGAGTCACCATGCCAGAGAGGAACACGCCCAGGAAAAGGAGGGAAAGGGTAAAAGCCGTCACGGACACGAACATGACCCATCCTTGGAGCAGAGGTAGAGGAACGTTGGAGGAAGCCACCAAAATCCAGACGAGTCCCCCGAACAGCTAAGGGTAAAAAGAAAAATGGCAGTAAGTTTGGGCAACAGAATAGAATGCACATTCATCATTCCTACCATGACTCTTGCTTCTCCCCAGACCCCCCACACACACTCCCACATCCCCGCCCCATCCTCTCTTCTTTATCATGATATGAGATGCCTTCTTCCCTCATGTGCCAGCCCAGTGCTTTTATTCACAAGCCCAATCTGATGGCACACCTGTTTCTGCACCTGCCTGAATGGACTCTCGTCCTCAGCCCGAGAACAGCCCCGAAACAGATTTTTGACCTGCTGCCTTTCTAACTCCTGTCTTCCTAAGTATTCCCTTTTTAATAACTGTTTTTTATAAATTCATCTTTGTCTCTACCTCTTCTGTTACTCTTCAAATCACTGGACAGTTGCTCTGCTCTCGCCATGTCTCAGTTTTATCAGTAAAGATCAGCCATAACTTCCTAGTTCATCACTTTTAATGGCCATGCTTCAGCCCTTATCAGGAAATTGCTGTTCATGTGAAATTGCCTATATAGAGAGTAAAAGTTTCAGCTGTTGTACATAATGGTAACCAATAAAATATACCATCACCTATTGAAACTCTCCTCTGTGCTTGGCATGGACATAGGTACTTTTTTATTTTATTAGGTACTTTTTTATTTTATTTTTTTTAAATATATTTCATTGATTTTTCACAGAGAGGAAGAGAGAGGGATAGAGAGTTAGAAACATCGATGAGAGAGAATCATCGATCAGCTGCCTCTTGCACACACTCCCCCTACTGGGGATGTGCCCACAACCAAGCTACATGCCCTTGACCGGAATCGAATCCAGGACCTTTCAGTCCTCAGGCCGACGCTCTATCCATTAAGCCAAACCGGTTTCGGCGGACATAGGTACTTTAGATCAGTGGTCACTAACCAGTGGTCCGTGAGGTCCGAAAGGTTGGTGACAGCTGCTTTAGTCACAGACCTAATTTAATACATATCTATTGCCCATCAGGCGCTGTGCCAGGTTCTACGAATAAATGGTAAACAAGCTACACTTGGTCTCCACCATCACAGAATTCACAGTCTCTTAATAGTAAAAAGCCAATTAAGCAAGTGATTAAAATGCTGCTTCAAACAAGTCAAAACTGGGCAAATTCTGGCGTGTATTGCAGGTCCACACAATGAGGGCACTAAATCCAGATGTGAAGAGTCAGAAAATACTCGCTGGAAGCAAATTCCCCCGTAAGAACGGGATAGGGGGGAAAGGGGGTGAGGAGAAGGCTGATCCAGGGCAGGAGGTGAGTCTTGAGAGGATTTGCTGGGAGCTGAGAGCGAGCCTGGGGAGCTGGAGACCCAGCTGAAGGTCCTGAAGGCGTGAACCACGCCCACGGGCCACGGGCGGCCACAGGTCATCTGGAGCAGGAACTAGCATGACCAGATTCACCTTCAGATGTTTCTCTCTGGCTAGAGTGTGACACAGACTAGAGAGGAAGGGATAGAGCTGAGACCGTGCAAGAGACTGTTTAACAACAGAATGTAAACCAGACTCTGGCTCTGATTGCAGAGACATGAATAGCTTAGACAAAATTTTTAAAAGTAGACAGGATGCTTATATAGGATCAGATGTGGGCATGACAGCAAAAGATCAGACACAGAAGATACTCAGCTTTCTGCCTTGGGCAACCAGGAATGAGAGAGAACACAGGGGAGAAATGGCTAGGGGCTGAAGATGGTATGTTTCCTGAATCTAACAGTGGTGGTCTCCTCCACACTACCGCAAAAGCCATGACGGCCAGGCATCCTTAGCAGGGCATGCCGGGCTCCTTAAGGAGCTAACCTGTCCTTTACATCCTTGTCTCTTGTCGCTAAGCCTCTCACATTTTACACTATACAAAAAACAAAACCCGCAGTCCAGAGATTACGCTCTTTCATGTCTGAGCGGCCTGCCCTACGCTGGCCAAGAATGCCACTCCCTCCCCCTCGTGTGTTTGAGAAACACTCATTCACAGCTCATCTGGGATAGCTCATGATCCAAAAAGGCATTCGTTCCAGAGTCCCACCCATGCTCAGGAACCTCCGTCCTCTGGGCACGCCGGTTTCTGGGCACGCCGGTTACTGTGAACGTGTTACACTGATGAGAAACACTGTAACTGAATGTCCTGGCTTCCAGTCCAGTCACATTATCAGACCTGCTTGGCAGCCATGTGTCTCCACATCTGAAGCCATTTATTAGTCTGCGGGATAATCCTCTTCTAACTGTCAGGCCTTGTGCTAGATTTGTAAACACAAAAATCTAGGCAATCTACCTGCTCTGAACACGGACAGGCCACTGGGAACCACCCCCACCCCCACCTGTGGCCTCCCACACCCACAGATGACATCACAGAAGAATGAGTACCTGCCAGGCACAAGGCTCTTACATATTTGCTCAGTGAACAAATAAATGCCTAGTGCTCATAAAAGAACAGTGGGAGTTCTAGATATTAAAAACCAACAATCATCTATGTCTCGCTTAAGTATCTACACAATAACCCAATTGCACAAGCCATTGAAAATTAAAAACACAGGCTTTAATTCAAGTTTCTAAAATAAATTTAAAAAGGCCCAGTTATATAATTCATTACTACTTTGAAAAACATTTTGAAAAGCATAATAACTTATCACTTGAGCAATGACAAAGCACCAGCCTAATAAATTTCTAATTGTGGTGATATATCTTAAGTCCTACTATCAAATCAAGCATGAACAACCATCCCAGACAGTTTTACGAAGTAAATCTAAGTCATGAATATTAATGCGTATTAAAACATTTAACCACAACTTTATTAGTAAGCTATGAAAGATACAGTGATCCCTGTAAAATATTTTCTACTCTTCATACGGTTTAATAAATATTTGATGGTGAGAAGATCTTCAAATCTCTTGTTGGTTTTTTTGTGTGTTTTTTTTTTTTTCCCCTCAACCTTTTCTTTCTGGTAGCCTTTTCTTCCTCTTCCACTACAAATAACTCATGTTACTTTAAATACTATTTAAGGAATACATCATTACTAACTATCTATTAATTCATTTATTGAGAAGGTACAAATACCAAGCATAATCAAGAACAATGGGCCATTGTTTGTTAGGGGCAGGCAGACTCAAACAGATGGGCATAATTATACGATATAGGAACTGTGATAAATTGACACCACTGAAGAAGAGAGTATCTGATCCCTTGGAACTAAACATAATATTTTGTAAAAATGGGCAGGACCTCAAACAGGGCAGCCTCAAATCTACTGCCAGGCACTACAGAAGGATAGTCCAGAAAAAAAAAAAAAAAAAGAAAGAAAGAAAAGGGCAGGGCTCTATCTACAGCAGCTCCAAACAAGGGAGAAATAGACACCAGTAACTCTGATTCAGAAGCAGATTGTGGAGTGAGCTATAAAAAGAGCTCCACACAGCGTGCTCCGGAGGCTGGAGAGGAATACGCGGGGAGGATTCTGGGCGGCAGGCGAGGAGGCAGGGTTAGAAGCAGGTTTTCCAGGCAAAGCAGGGCTTTGACAGGGAATGCTAACGTGACACAAGGCACATGAATTGTTCTTGTCATACTCAAAATTACAGCCCTTCCCACACCTAAAAGGCTTGGAAAGGAAGTGCAGTGCCTACGTGAAAAGAACAGATTTAGCTACCCATCTGTGGTATGTGTGCTGATGGGCAGGTAGGGAGGAAGGCATATGAATAAGCAGAGACTGCATCCCTCAGCCAGAGATCCTGGGGAGTGCAGATTTAAGTCATGCTCACCACAGTAGCTTTGGAAGGGGGAGGATGGGCCAGAGGACATAATTAAGCCTGCTCTGGAGATCCCGCCTGCCTCGCTGTAACACTATCACACAGGCGTCACTAGGACTTTGACACAATTATTTCTTCTCTTCCTCCTGGTGTCCTTTTGACAAAAGCTACGTTTGCTCCAGAGCTTCCTAACCTGGTTCCCCCTTAAAAAGTTCTTTCAATCCCTCAGTGGGTAGAGCGTGGGCCTATGAACTGAAGAGTCCCAGGTTCAATTCCGATCAAGGGCACATGCCTGGGCTGTGGGCTCGATCCCCAGTGGGGAGCATGCAGGAGGCAGGCAATCCAAGATTCTCTCTCATTGATGTTTCGGTCTCTCTCTCCCTCTCCCTCACTCTCTCTGAAATCAATAAAAATATATTAAATAATAAAAAATAAATTCTTTCAAAGACATTACTAATGAACGACATATTCTCTTCATCTAATTCTAGGCACTGCCAAACTCAAGAGTATTTACCAAGCACACGATCACTGTCAGTATCCTGTTCAGTAGATGTCACTCTGGAGGAGCCTTGTTTTCAGAGATGAATAGCAGAGCACAAATGTGGTTCCAATCTGAGGGAGACCAGCTGATAAGAGTCGTAGCAACTGCAGGGAACACCCACTGTGAAGGGTGGGAGGCCACGCTGTCCATGCTGTTCTCATCTTGGATCCAGAACCACGTGCTGACTTCTTGTCTGTCACTGCCTTTCACTGCTCTTTGGTGTCCAAATTGTCTGACTGTGTAAAAACTCCCAAGTGTATTACATTTTTCAAAACTTGTTCTTTCCAGGTTTCCTGAGATATAACTGAATGCGGCGCTCACTACAGGTTAACGTGTCTGGCATAACGATTTGACTTTGTGAAAGCTCACCATAGCAAGGGATCACCCATCCTCTCACACCGAATGCATCACATTCTGAAACTTCTCTCAGGAACTAAGTTGGGGTGCATGACCCTGTGCCTCAAGCTCTAATTAAAAGACACCCCCGACTCGCAGGTCATCCAAAGGCCAAGGTTTCCTAGAAGTAGCTGTCAGCCTTCCCTGTGGCTGTTTCCCTAACCTTCTGAGCTTCACTTTAGGTGCACCTGACACACCCATAGTGCTCAATTAGATTCTGAGTGCAGTTATTAAACTGCTGCACATCCCAAAAAGAATGCTCTCCTTTGTGGTTTAGCATATACTTCTCACTTGAGTTTGGTACCTGCAGGCCAGAAG